CAGCCTCTTCCCCTCCTTTCTCTTCCCCCTCCTTTCTCTTTCTCACCCCTTTCTCTTTTCCTTGCGCCTTACTTGTGCGTAAACGCCGCCGTTGAACATGCTTTTGCCGCTGTTGAAATAAACTTGTACTTCCCTCCTTTCTCTTTCTCACCCCTTCTCCTCTTCTCCTCCACCCCCCTCACACGCTTTCTCTTTCTCACCCCAGCCTTCTGCTCTTTCTCCCGCCCCGCCCCCTCCTTTCTCTTTCTCACCCCCCACTTTCTCCTCTTTCTCCCCTGGATCCCATGCTTTCTCTGTCATTGTTATGCAAAGGTTATATAATTGAAGAGACCCGCGAGTCTCACTGTTTAGAGATAATGTGCTTCCCCACATTCCCTAATAGAGCTTTCGCGCAGTTGGGCACACAACACTAAAGTGATAAGTTCAATGTTATAGCAAAAGAGAGCATATATGAACCCTAAAGTAGGGGGAGGTTAACCACATCTACACCCCAGAAAATCTACATGGACCTGCAAGTCCCATTATAACATGGACCAGCGAGCCAATGTGCCTATAAAACAGATGATTCTCTCCTGGACTCTGTTTTCGTTGTTGTTGTTATGCAAATGTTATATAAACGATGAGACTTGCGAGTCTCACTGTTTAATTTACGTTGAATCCGCAAATAAATAAAAACATATTTGCAAAAAAAAAGTTCAATGCATCTAAAATTAAATAAATATTAAAAAATATTGAACAAAGCACATTTTTAACACTGTACATAACTAAGCATTTGAGACACAAACCCTTGTGTATAAATTAGAGATTGTGGAATATGATGTGATATGCTATATAAGTCTTGATATTTGTTACATTCTGCAGGAAGCCATTCTTTGGATGATCACAAACCGATCAAACTAGGTAGGTTTAGTAACTTTGCTTATAAAACAAAATAATCCAGTTTGTTTAAAACAATGGTAAATGTTGTACATTGACTTTATTAAACTTCAACATAATGTACAATGTTGTAATATTTGATTTTTATATTAATTACTTAGGAACAGCTGAGACCTCTCACATTTACACATTTACGGAACCAATATTTCAGAGCATTTAAAATTGTTTTAAATGTTTTAACCTTTAACCAATTTCTATTAAACTCTCTGACATTCTAAAAAATATATAAATAAACAGGTGGTGGATCTGATATCAAATGCACAGTATAAGCAAATAGTATATTATGGCACTAGAAAAAGTTGGGGATATGATAGCATATTACTAATATAGTCGGGGTCAATTCAAACTATTGTCTGGAAATCTATTCATAAACACAAGGTCAGACATTAGACTGGACAAAAGGCGATTTAGTCTAAGGCAAAGGAAAGGGTTGTGAGTTGTGAAGATGGGGTTTTATTAGAGTCTGTACAGATATTAAAAGAACAACTGGGTAAATACTTGCAAAACACAATATGCAGGAATATAATTTTTAATTTGTGGAGTAACAGCATCTTGATCCATGGAGAGATCTGACTGTCATTTTAGGGTCAAAAATGATTTTTTTTTTTGTAGTTTCTTGCAAAATTGGATGCACTTCAAACACTATAGCAGGGGTAGGCAACCTTTTAGCAGCACTGTGCCGATATGGGATTGTGATGTCCCGTAGCGTGCTGATCCTATGTTTTTTAAATTGAGGTGTGTATGCTGCCGTATTCTGCTTTTGTTATTTTTACTGTAATTGCTTTGTATTGTTGTATTTGTGCGTATATGAGCTATTATATTGTATATGTTCATTAGTAGTTTATGATATCGTGTATGATATATATGAATGTGGGCTGTGTATGAGGGCTGCTTGTGGAATTGTGTGTGGATGGATATGTCACATTGTGTGTTTGGTAGTGTGTGGGGGCTGTTTGGGGTCGTGCATGTGAGAGGCTGCATGCGGGGTTGTATGCATGTATGTGGATTGTTAGCGGGTTACGTTTGTGCGGATTGTGTGTATGTTTGTGTGTGGGCTGTTCATATTATTTGTATGAGGGGAGGGTTATTCTGCATTTCTGTGTATATCTAGAAGTGTGGGTGGCTTCCCTATGTTCCAGTGGGGACCAGGCCGGCCAGGTATAGCTCAAGTATAGGAGCTGCAACAGCAGCTGCAGGCTGCTCTGCTACAGTGTGGATTCCCATTCACAAGTGCTGGGAGGAAGTGATCTGAGATCACTTCCTCTATGTGCTGCAATGCATTAATTGAGTATTGTCCTTCACCACCTCTTCGTATTAGCAGATATCTGAAGTTTTATTGGGACTCCTGATAGGACAGAGCCTGTTTTGCTCAAGCAGCCTTGAGTGCCGTGCAAAGACACCTCGAGTGCCGTGTATGGCACTAATACCGTAGGTTGCCTACCCCTGCACTATAGGGTCAGGAATACATGTTTTTGTTCCTGACCCTATTGTGATCCTTTAAATCTCAGCCAGGAATTTTAAAATCCGAATGTATTAACAGTTGGCATTACTAACTCTGCCAGTGGGAAAGTAGTTCTAAATATAATTTGCTTGCAAAACAATAATGCTGGATGCCTTCGGTGCTTTGAGAATATGCCGAATTCTATACTTTATAAATAGTTTAGATGCGAAAAAAAACACTGATATTAACCCAGACAGTAAATGTATCTATACAATTGGTGTAGATGTGGCCACATTTTACATCTAAGAAGCTGTAGTAAATGTGAAAATTTGCATTCTGTTCAGCATTCAGATCAGGATACAAAATGTACAGGTAGGGAGGAGAGGACAGCTTATTGTAGTTGTTCTAGTAAGTATAGTCAGTATCTGCAGGCATTTTAATGTAATCACTGCCTTTTTAGAGAAAAATTGGCCACTAAAGGTGCTTCCTAGGAAAGTGATGCAACTCTGCATGGAGACGCTGAACTTTCCCTTTAGAAATGCATTGATTCAATTAATCTCTATGAGGAGATGCTGATTGGCCAGGGCAATGTTTAGCCATCCCCCTCACCCCTATTTTCCTATGGGAGAGCGTTGTGATTGGCTGAGGTATCAGCAAAGGCAGCAGATCGGGGGCAGGACAAGACATGAGGAGCACCACGCGTTGCTGGAAAAGAGTGAGCAAATCACCTTTCTAATCTAAAGTAAAAGGGAATGACAACTTAAACGGTTGTTTTAGAACTATGGTGTCAGGAATACATGTTTGTGTTCCTTACACTATAGTATCCATTTAAGCAGAAAAGAATGTTTGAGTAAAGAAGTATGTCTTGAAATGTTTGCCAAAGGATGAGTGTGAAGTGCTGATGGATGTGAGGATGGGCCTCCAATACTATGTGTGAGAATTAACAGAATGAAGAGGGAGACAATTGGTATATGGGTATTTTAAGGGAGCAGAAAGAACTGGTGGGTATATACCGTATGCCAATAAAAGATTTGCAAATAAAATGACACTGTATATGTTTCCAAGATATTATTTGTAAACCATGTCTTGCCTTGCTAATTTTGAAAATATCAAACATGACAGTTTTCATTATTTCATTTTGCATTTCCAACAAAACACACAGTATACATATATTTAAAAAAAATGAAGAGATTATGTTTTTTAAAAGTCTCATTAGGTATTTTTTTTTCCAATATATAAGAAAAACCACATCATGTATACATGTTTCTATTGAGCATATAATTACGAGAAGAACTAGACAGGAACTACTACTTTTTTTACTTTTTAACATGCATTATTCTCATACCAAGTGAATTCCCTCTCTTTAGGGAATATAACGTTTTGTTGTAGTAATTTCTAAGACGTGAGCAAGTGCATTTTTTTATCATTGTGCCACTAATATAATGCAATCTTTAGCACCTCAGCATTATTGAGCCCTGCTGGTAACTCCTTTGTGCCAAGTGTGAAATTGGCAGATCTTAAAAAGCCACTACTTACTAAAAAGTATCACATTTATAGAGATAAGAGAGCCTTTTTACCCAGCGACATAAGTTTTAAACACAGACCTCAAATAAATTATAATTGCATTACTACTGGAAACCTTAACAGTTACATATGTAAGATCTGTGTTAACAGAGTCATTCCAAACTTATTAATACTTAATCGATTGGCATAGCTCACCAAGTCCAACATATCTACTTACCATCCACTCACATCAATAAACTAAAATCTTTCCTCTTCCAAGACGCTGTCTATTGTCAATATATAATTTTCCTTCATATTTATCAGAACTCCATATAGATAAAATGCTTTGGGAAAATAAAACCATTGAGATGGAATTTATTCTTCTTGGATTGACCAATGATCCTGTGTTTCAAATTATTCTTTTTGTATTTTTCCTGAATGCATACATAATTATTTTATGTGGAAACTCTCTAATCATTTTATTAACCATGAGAGACAGCAGCCTCCAGACTCCAATGTATTTTTTCCTCACCAACCTTTCTTTCGTGGACATTTTCTATTCAACATCAACCATACCTAGATTGTTAAAAGATTTACTGTCAATCAATACAATTATTTCTTTCTCAGAATGTGCAACTCAAATGTATATTTCACTTTCTTTGGGAGAATGTGAGTGTGTTTTACTTGCTATAATGGCTTATGATCGGTATGTAGCTATATGTTATCCTTTACATTATACCACTATTATCAGCAGGTCTGTTTGTATCAGAATAGCTACTGGTACATGGTTATGTGGATTTATTCTGTCTATTTCCCATGTTTCACTTACACTGAATGTAGATCGTTGTGGACATAATGAAATAAACCACTTTTCATGTGAAGTCCCAGAAATCCTATCACTTGGTTGTGGAAATATATTATTTGCTGAATTTAGTATCTTTGTTTTGGGTGTGATTTTGCTAATGACACCTGTCACTTTTATTGTAATTTCCTATGTTAAAATTATCATGACAATCTTACAAATTGCTTCTTCTGCGGGACGCCGAAAAGCCTTCTCTACCTGTGGATCTCACATGTTGGTTGTGACAATGTTTTATGGGTCAAGTATGGCTGTTTACATGAAACCTAGTTCAAGTTATATCCCAGGAACAGACAAAATTATTGCAGTTTTTTATATTATTGTTACACCAATGTTTAACCCTTTGATTTATACATTCAGGAATAAAACTGTTAAAACAGCCATAAAAAAGTTAAAAATCAAAAGGATACTCCAACCAAAACAACTTAAGTTTAACCCTTTCACTACTAAACGGTTTGAGAAAAAGAATCCTGGAAAGTAATGATATCATGTATTTTTAGTTATATTCATTATTTAATGAAAACAGAGACTATAATTTTAGAAATACAGGACAACTTAAAAAAAAATTATTAATTTATGAAATAATGAAGTTACAGAAAGAAAAACATTGTGGTAAATAAATAACATTTCTCAATATGTAACATTGACATATTTCCCACATATGCTACACTCTTTCTCACATATATACAGAGGCGGCTCTAGACTTTATGAGGCCTTAGGCAAAACTCAAACATGAGGCCCCACTAACAAAACACACTGTCACATATACACATTGATGCACAGTTTACCTGTGTATGTGCCTGAAAGTGTGTCTGATAGAGAGTATCCTTGTGTGTGTGATTGTATGTCTCTGTGAGCATGTTTGCGTTTTTGTCTGGGACCCTATGTGTATGGGTTAGCTGCTTGAAGTGTGTTGTGTGTATGGGGGTCTGCCTGTAGCCTTTGTGTTTATGACAAAGCTATGTTTCTTTACTGTGTGTGTATGATGAATGTCTTCAGTTGGTGATGTTGACAAGGTAAGAGAAGGGGACATGGTTTCTCTCTCACAACCCACCCTCGCAATGGACAGGGGGGGTTGTGAGAGAGAATGAGTAACAGGGAGTATGACATGGTTTGATGAGGGAGTGTGGTAAGTGTGTCAGGGCAATTGTGGCATTGTAGGAAGGATGAGTGTGACAGGTATAAGGGGGGTTATTGTGACAGGGTTGGTGTGGCAAAGTGAGGGCAGATGAGTTTGGAGGGTGTGAGATGATTGGGATTAGGAGTGGTTAATGTGAGTGTGGATGCATGAAAGGGCTGACAGTATGGGGGGGTGATTACAGTGTAGGGAGGGGTGACAATGTGTAAGGAGGTGACAGTGTGAGGAGATGTTAAAAGTGTGTCTGGGGAGGCTGTGTGTGTGAGGGGGTTGATACTGTGTGTGTGAGAGGGTGATGGTGTGAGGGAGGGTGATGGTGTGAGGGAGGGAGGTGGGTGATAATGTGAGGGAGGGAGAGGGCTGATGGTGATGGTGGAGGAGTGATGATGAGAGGGAGAGGGGAGTGATGGTTAGGAGAGGGAGAGGGGGTGATGGTGAAAGGGAGAGGGGGTGACAGGGAGAGGGAGGTGATTGTGTAGTGGGTGATGGTGAAAGGGTGAGGGGGTGATGGTGAGACAGAGATGGGGTGATGTGAGAGGGAGGGGGTGATGGTGAGGGAGGGGGTGATGGTGAGGGAGGAGTGAATGGTGAAGGAGAGGGTCGATGGTGAATAAGGGGTGGTGATGTTGAGGAGGGGGGGCTGATGGAGGGAGGAAGGCGGTGGAGGGAGGTGATGCGAGGTTGAGGGGGGGGCTGAGGAGGGGCCTGAGAGGGAGGGGAAATGCTGAGGGAGGGGGTGATGCTGAGTGAGGGGGGGGCTGATGGTGAGGGAGGAGGCTGATGGTGAGGGAGGGGATGGCAAGGGGTGATGCTGTGGGATGAGGGGTTGATGTGGGGGGATGTTGAGGGAGGGGAGTTGATGGTGAGTGAGGGGGTGGTGAGGGGGGATGATGAGAGAGGGAGGGGGTAATGTTGAGGGAGGGGGTGATGGTGAGGGAGGTTGGGTTGATGCTGAGGGAAGGGATGATGTGAGAGGGAGGAGGTGATGGCGAGGTGGATGATGCTGAGGGAGAGGGGTGATGGTGAGGGGGGGTTGATGGTGGGGGGTGATGCTAAGGGAGGGGGTGATGGTGAGGGGGAGTCATGGTGAGGGGGTGATGCTGAGGGAGAGGGGTGATGTTGAGCGAGGGTGGTTGAAGGTGAGGGGGTGATGTGAGAGGGACTACATACCTTTATTTATTCCCTAGTGGTCCAGTGTAAGCTGCCTGGTGGTCTGGTGAGCTCCTTGGTGGTCCGGTGTCCATTACAACCAGTCTGCAGCTCCGCAGAGCTGCATACCATGTATCTTGTGAGACCCATCAGAGCGTTGCCGTGGTAACCCGCGGCAACACTCTGATTTGCCAGTTCTCGCGAAACACATGGTCTGTAGCTCTGCTCACAGCTGAGTTGCAGAACGGTGTCTGATGGCTGGCTGGCAAGCCACTGTGCCCCTTCCGGTGTTAGGTCCTCAGTCACTGACCGAGGACCCAACACAGTCTGCCCTCAAGTGGTTTAGGAGGCCGCGAGGCCCCAGACAGCTCAAGGCCATAGGTGGCTACCTAAACTGCCTAATTAGAGAGCCGCCCCTGCATATATATTATCCCTAACATATACAGTCCCTGATGGTATGTCACTCAATATGTCATTCGGCCATAGTGCTTTGCTCCTGCCAAACAATATCTGTCAAGTACATGCACTAACCCATAATTCACATGGGTGAACTTTATTTGAATTCTGAATTAATAAACACTATTTTCCTGCATTGTTAAGACTGGTGAGTGCTATCCTACCTGATATATATTTTAAGCCCTACACCATCCAACTACCAACCAATCGCCTGCCTCCCCACAACATGGAAGGTCCTGACAGGCATCATAGCCTCCAAGATGAATGGGCATATGAGTCAGTACATAAGCAATGTTAAGAAGGTGATTGGAAACAACATCAGAGGAAAACACCAACTACTGGTATCCCAAGCAGTCATGAGGGATTTTAAACCCAAACAGACCAATCTTTGCTCATCCTGGTTTGACTATACAAAAGCCTATCAAAGACAAAAAGGATTGGGAATGGTGCTGCCGTAATGACTGATTTTCATACATTATACAAATTAAGTTACCTCACACACATGAAAATACACTTCTTATCTTATCAGGCTACTTAAAATTGCCTAAGTAAACAAATATGGGGATTCAGTTCCACCATATGGCCATATTGTGTTAAGCCCACAACTACTTAACAGTACTCCAATATTGGTGGGACCTACACTAATTCCAAATGTGGGAGACAAATTAAATAGTGCTTGTGACAAACGCTCCTTCCCTTGAACATTTGCCATGGACTCCTGGAGGAGTGTGGAAGCCGGCCTCTTGCCCACCAACTATGGTCCAGGTCTGAGACAACATTTGTGAGTTACCCTTCCCAGCCGCCATTAGCAGCTTTCCCTGGGTGCCCCTGATTCGGTACTTTCCCTTCTCACGAATGGAACCGAACTCTAGCTCCCTGGCAGCTGTTTGCATGAACCAAACCCACGAATGGTCCTCAGCAGTACTTAGTCATGACTACTATGAAACTAATTTCGGCATTAGGACTTTGTGGGTTACCTCAGCGGGACTTAGCCACAAATGTTATGGAACTGTTTTTGGCATGAGGTACTGTGCAGTTCCCGGACAACTTGGTCTGCGGTTTTGAATGACTTTGCATCCCGCCAAGAGAGCACTTTTTGAAAGGAATGTGTCTGAGACTAAGTGGAAGAAACGCTACCTGAGAGCCAGATGAAGCACCCCATTTTGGACACAGGAGCTCCCGAACATTGACCGGCAAAAGCACCAAACACCCTGGAACTATTTTGGGCATAGGACCACGTGTGCAGCCGGTCAGAACTTTAAGACAGTGGCTTTTCCCCTAGAACTTGGGTGCTCAGATCAGGGCTATTTGGGGATGTATGTTATGTGAGGTTACTGTATGTTTTTTGTTATGTTTTGGGGTACTTTTATGTTTTTAGATTTTTGTGTTTGTTTACAATGGAGACCTCATGCTGGGGTCTGTGCATAAAAGGCTGAGTTTGGCTTATAAAAATCAGTTGTACTCCCTGAACTATGTATTGTCTAGTTACTGGGAGGGGAAAGGTCTAATCACTGCTCAGCACCTAGTTCTAGTTCATGGAGGATTCGGTGGGGAAAGTCCTTGTAGGGACTATAACTCCCAGGACTGTGTGTCATCCAGTTCCTGGGAGGGAATAGAAGTAGTCCCCTATCCTGTTCCAGGATGGAGAGGCTCCAGGAGGCGCCTGGCGACTGGGGCAAAGGTGCTGAGGTTTTCCCCAATTCCAGCTAGGAAGCGATCCTTGGCAGAGGTACCCAGCCGGGGTATAGGGAGCTCCACTGCAGTGCTAGTGCTAGATCAGCTAAAGTGTGTTCAATTAATCTATTGTAAGAGCATTATGTGTATACAGAGAATCTGGTCTGAATTCCAAACTAGGATTGGGTGTAATCGGTACATACATTCTGCAGGAATGGTGCTGCCATAATGACCTATATTCATACATTATACAAATGAGGTTAAAGTGCACACATAAACATACAGGTATAAATCTTATCAGGCTACTTAAACTCACCTATCTAAGAAAATAAATATGGAGATTCAGTTCCACATATTGGCAATATTGTGTTAAACCTATGGAGAGCAAAAAACGGGTCGCAAGAGTATTCTGAGAACGGACAGCAAGCTGGTTTTAGCTCATCTTGCGCCATTACAGAGAGAAGATATCTGAAGCATATCAGACTGGTCCCACCCATACGGGCAGTCCAGATCCGAAATGCCAGCAAGTTCTCTCTGCACGAGAGACACAGCAACCCTAGACGATCGTTTCAGCCTTGTTAGGCATCATCAATGATGCATAGCTGATATCTCTCTAGGCACCCTGAGCAAGGGAAAAAAATATAAAGGTCCCAATAGTGTACCTGAAGATAGAGTTCAAAACACAGCTAAAAGGTTAACTCTCAACTGAAAAGGGGGACTCCACTAAAAAATCCCTATAAGTGCAATAGACAAAAAATATTGGATGAATAATCCAATATGTATTCAGGAGTAGTGTATACCTTTAAATATGAACTAGCATTTAAGAATGTTAAGACAGTATGATATGATTTGGAATAGCATATGTGACGAGACCAATCTCGCCACATTGCATTGGAGAAGCCTGGTTGCTCGCCTGCTACCTTTGGACTATGGCCCCCTGTTAAAAGACATCTTTTTTACCTGCAGAAAAGCTTCATTCGTGCTTTTCTGCCTGGGGTTCGGTAGATTTGTTTGAATGTGTTATACCCCAGATAGGAATCCCATGGAGCCCATTCGTATGAAACTGACTGTAAAGACTTTGGCTCCATGGCGATTAAACTGTATTCGTGTGGTCTGAGCGCCATTCACTTAATAATGTGCGCTCAGACCTGAGCTATCTGGGGATATGTTAAATGTCTGTGTGTTATGTAACAAATGTGACTTTATGTATTTTAAAGTGTTTTACTGTCTTTGTGTCACCATGTGCAGAATGGAGTCTTGTCCCTGTCCTGGGAGATAATTGAATTACTTCTCACTTATCTCCAGGGCAGAGGAGAGGAAGCCAGTATGCATTGTGGTAAAAGGTATGTGTATTGAGTTACCTCTCAGGATAAGGGGGAGGGAATCTGTGGGTTGTAACTAATATGTTACTGGATATTTTATACCTCCCTGTGGGCGGTCCTGTATTTGCAAGACTGTAATAAAAACCAGGCTGGGTGTGCCAGCACCTCAGACCACTGCTTGACCCTCAACACGGAGCCTTGTCTTGTCTTTTGGGGGATTTACTGAATGTTGATAGAGACTGATTGCTAGGAGTGTAAGCCGCTTGGATGCTTTTCCTATTCGTCTGGTAGCAGCAATTCGTATGGTTCCTGTTCGTCTGTTTGGAGTGCTATATTGGATGCCGTTCGGGAGTTTGAAGCATTCACTTATTGTATGCAGTTCGAGTGTTTGGAGCATTCCCTTGTATGCAGTTCGAGTGTTTGGAGCATTCGCTTGTATGCAGTTCGGGTGTTTGGAGCATTCACTTGTATTCAATTCGTGAGTTTTGAGTGATTCTACAGTAGCTGTGCCTGTCTCTAAAAAGAGATTATCGTCTAAGCAGTTTTTTCCCCTTTTCCAAACACGAGACCAATCTCGCCACAGCATATAAATAGAAAGCATATATAAAACAAGTAATATGAATATGCTCTTGCAATAAATTCAATAGTCAGACAAAATGTTCTTGTATTGATACAATTGTATCATTTAGAGTGAGAGTTCATAACAGTCCGTAAATAATGTTAGCTGCTTCAGCTTTTACCAGTTATAAACGAACTGGAATAATGGATGCTGAATTAGCTGAATTTGTATAGTACAAATATATTTGTTTGAAGCAATAGTAATTAGCAAATATAATAGTGTACTTGTGAAAAAAAAAAGGAATAAAATGATAATTACTAGCAGGTCATGATTAGTGACTTGCAGTATACTGGAAAGAAAATCCCTCCGGTCTTGCAGAGACTAATGCAGAGATGCTTTCTGTGTTATATATGAATACATTTATTGTCCACAGAATAAAATTAAAATTACACTTACAATTAAGTAAAGAACTAAATATGCTGAGCTGGGATCGGCAAAGTATGATGTTAGCAGCTGTCAGGTGCTGGTCCAGCCGGCAGATGATGCTGAGAGCCGCGTGCGTGTCACTGATCTTTCCTGCGTTCCAGATACAGCCTGTTCGTCTTTACGGTAAGTGCCAGAAAGTAAACTAATGTCCTTACGCGTTTCGTGAGTCTGCTGCTCACTTCATCAGAGGATGTCCTCTGATGAAGTGAGCAGCAGACTCACGAAACGCGTAAGGACATTACGCGTTTCGTGAGTCTGCTGCTCACTTCATCAGGGAGGCATTATGTCTCTGATGAAGTAGGGCCCATTCCCTACGAAACGCGTAAGACAGGCATTCCAGCAACACACGGGATCAGACGCATGTACCAGCAGCACCACTAATCTGCACACGCAGGACCTGTTTGGAAAGTACCGCCACCGGAGGCATCTGTCCTGCACGTCCCCTGAAGTGAGGCTCCTGCTCGGGACGTGCTCACAGACACAAGCCATCCTCACCGGCAGCTGTATATTGAATCATCACAATCCATATCCATCCTTAACAATCTGAAGGTCCTTGCTGTTATTTTTCAATGCTTCAGTCTGGTAATGCATTTCTGAATCTAGTGTGACCTGTATTTTTATATTTAACTTTTTCCAAAGTTATTTTAATATATTCAATAAACTGGCATTTTTTCTTATATGAAGTGATCCAGTTTTATGCTTCAGTTTTCCAGCGATATATTGTTTTCATTTTTATTGCCTAAAGCTAACAGTTCCTTGTACTGTATAGCTTATTTTTTACTTCTATCTTTTACTAAGTATACTATTTGCAACAGGTATCATTTATCCCTCATGTTGTTTGGGATATAGACACCAGTTTCATACATATTTTTTGGTCATCCAGCAGAGAATTTGGTCTCTCATCTTTCCCCTTTTTGCATTTTTGTATTTTATTTATATATATATATATATACTTTTTTTTTTTTTTACCCCCCCTATATAGCACTGCTTTGCATGTTTGCACACTCTTAAAGGACATTTAAAGGTATAGCAGCATTCTCTTTGTATTCTTGCACATTTAAAGGGATATCCCGTTTATTTGAGATCTCCACTTATAGCACTTTTACTCACATTTTTGCACATTTATAGGGATACTTTGTCCATTCCAGATTTAAAGGCATAGTACCATATATATATTTTTATATTTATATATATATATATATTTTTTTATATTTATATTTATCTCTATGTATTAGTATTTTAGCCATTAGTCACCTAGCCAGCTCCTGGTATTCCCACTCTTCTAGAGAGTTCTTTTCCCTTGTTCTATATAGGTTTTTAGTGAATCCCTATCATTACCAGTTTTCGAGCAGCTTAGTGCTAGTCTGTCTCCCTCTCTCCTGTGTGGTATATTAGGTACACCAGAACCATTCAACTAATTACAAGAGGTGTTTTGAAAGACATTGCAGCAAGAAATTATGCTTAACCCTTCATGAATGAAAGAAAAGAGATGAAGAATCCCAATATCAATAAGAGCACTCTGACAGGCAATTCTCATCTCCCATGAGGCTTTTGTGAGAATGTTCCTGCACACATTTTGTGACTTGCATCTCAGAGAGCTCTGTTTAGAGTGCAACTAGACAGTGCACTCTACTGCCTTTTTGCTATTATTAGGAAGCGAGGAATCAGGTTGTGGGGAAGGAAAGCTGTTAACAGTTTAATTGATATTCTTTCCTGAAGTAGTAAGTTTTTAATGATTTTTTTAATGGAATGGAAACTAGATGAAAGTCTAATGAAGCAGGGTACGGAGTTCAACAGGAACCGTGCAGCCCTAGAGAAGTCCTGAAAGCAAGCATCAGAAGTGGGAGTGAGGGTAGAGGATAGACATAGGTCTTTGGCAGAACATAAGGGCCTAGACGGGACATATTTGTGTATTACGGAGAATAGGTAGGGGAGAAGGCATTATAAAGCCCTTGTAAAGCTTTAACAGCCTTGATCTTGATTTAACTGACTTAACCTCGGGGATCCCTAGACACCAGGCATGACACACTTTTACATACATTTTGGGGGGGAACGACAATGGCAAGTCTACCCCTAATTGTTATTAAGTCCCCAGCCTGAAGTATATGGATGAGGGGTGCGCTTGTAAACAATAGCATGTCCACTGTCTGTTTGTGTTAATACCACACCCATCGGCTTGGGTAAAAGGTTAAGATGGATGGGTAAAAGGACAATAGCATGTCCAACCCCCTTATTTATTTTTGCCCATCCCTAACTTTCTGCCATTTGGTGTCGGATGTCCAACCCTGCACTTACAGTAGTAGCCCCCATCTGCTGTATTTGGCTGTGGTATGGGCAGAGTTTAGCATTGCACCATTGAAGTTTAGATCATTCATATGCCACACATATGAAATAAATACGAAAGAAAGAAGCTGAAGGGGAACTCTTAAAGGGGATAACCCTTGCGGCTAAAGACTTAGTGAAAAACTAGAGAAAACTGAGTGCCCTTAAAATGTAACTTTTATTAGTAATAGTAAAATAATAAACAAGGTGATACTCTATAAATAGATATGTTATTGTGAGTTGTCAAAAAGAAAAGGATAGAGATAACAATTCTACTGGGTCTGGGTTGCCCATATGTAGTTAAGTTATCTAGGGAGGTGCAAATACATATATAGATATATATTTGTCCACTGCAAAATATATTAGTACTGTTCAAATTACAATCCGACTTGGAGCTAACTAGAGGTCCAGTTGGAAAAAAGGTTATTAGGTACAGAGATGAAACTTCTTAAAATCCCTGTATCAAATCGTAATGATGAGGTTCTGTTCAGAAGTTTTCAGAAACCTTCTTCCAATGATATATGCAAAACAATGTTTTGCAGTTCACACATGCTGTACTGAGACTCGTCCAGTGAATTAAACTGCTGGAACGTTAATATACAAAGTATCAGGCTACGGTCCGCCACACTTGGAGAATAAATACTTTGTTCCCAGTGTTAACTTACACCGCTAGATAGCTATATCAATCAGCACAAGTAAAAGTACTATAAACCACGACAGCTGGAGAGAGTATAATAACATGCTATGTCCTAAAGGATCAACAAATGGGAACACAGCCTCTCATTCTCCAACAGTAAAAAATCTCTAAGAGCTGAAGTGGTAAAGTAAGATCGGCGTCCCTGTAACGGAGCTCCCTGTACTCCGACTGAGTACCCTCCGTTGACGGATGCTCCTAGCGCTTCCTGAGGACTCCAAGCACTGCAGCAGACACCACAACCACCGCAGACTCCGCAACCGCCGTATCTTGACTGGAGTCTCGCCGTCTTCCTTCCACCCTGGATCAGCTTCTGTCCTCCAGAACTGTGTGGGAAAGAACTCTTCCTTCCACCCTGTACGAACCTCCAGCATCCAGGACTGTGTGGTGAAGACCCCTCCTCCAAGGAGAGCGTGTCAGGAACAAGCTCTTAAAAGAGCTAAGTGATTCAAGCTCAGGGGAGCATGCAGAGCATAGCAATCCCCAGTGTGATTATAACAGCTCCCTCCAATAACGAGACAAGGCTACATTTAGAGGGATCAAGAAGAACTGTCAAAACCTTTATTCCCTTGGGTCCAGCCAATACAGTCACCACAATAACATTGTTGTGAAACCTCAATAAAATCACAAACAGTCAAACCATATCAAGAAACACACAGTGACTTATCACAACACAATGGCACATTTTTAAAGGGGTGGGGGGAGACAATATTTAACAGTAAATATCTCACCTGCCTGCAGAATTAGCAATATGCAAATCTACCCGAATATGCAAATGAACCAGTCTTGCAATTCAGGTAGTGCATATTGCTGTTGCTACCAACAGAGGGCACTAAACCAGCTCCATAGCCAAACCCACCTAGTTGGTAGCAAACCTCAGTAATACAAGAGAGCAGGCAATACATTACACAGTACACACACACACACTATAAACAATTACATTACACACACCCTGCACTTATAATGGGTACAGGGTGACTAAAACATAGGATAAATAAAGCAGCCCACATAAATAGTCTGTCTGAAGGTAGAATAGGGGCTTTAAAGGCAAATACATCAAAGAGTCATAGTCACAGGGGAGGAGGCTGGCAAGCAGGCTTCTCCAGTACCAAGTGGCGAAGGGCACTTCGTCACAGTCCCTATAGCTGTGGTATAGTGAGATCTTCAATCCGAAACTGGCGTTCCCAAACTGTGGATTGAAGATCTCACTATACCACAGCTATAGGGACGCCACTGGCTACCATGGTATTTTAAATACTCTGTGCGTGTGTGAGCTTTAGAGACAGCACTCTCCGTATAATTCTATAACTCAGAGGATACATCGGCCTCTACCAGCATCACATGCTTTAATCTAGTTTCTTTATGCATTTGAGTTACAGCCATAACATTGGGTTATCCTCTTACTGCTACCGCATTATTGCATTATTAAGGCTTCGGGCAAGGTATGAATGATTCACACACTTGCTGCATCATTTTATATATTGTACCCTGCAAAGCTGCCATCTTCCCTACTTACCTAGCACAGATGTGTGCTCTTGTAGAACATCATATCTCTGACTACTTATTTTCGTTCATATTTCGACCTACAATATCGATTTATTTTTTAGTAGTTTTTGTTTCACTATTTTGGTTTTCACTTCTTTATGTGTGTCTAGCACTTTAGGTTATTGCCAGAAGCAATTTTTAGAGTCTTATTATAATTAATAAACAATTCTTTATTTTTTTGACCGTTCTGTTATATTCGAGTATTGTGACTTCACTTTTTCTGGAATTATCTCTAATAGGATTTGCCATTCATACCATTCATACCATTATCCACTCTTGGTATACTATTTCAAGCCTATACTCTTTATTCACTTGTTTCCTTTCACTTAACAACCATGCTGGGACTCTCACTGCAGAATATATATATATATATATATATATATATACAGTTGCAAGAAAAAGTATGTGAACCCTTTGGAATGATATGGATTTCTGCACAAATTGGTCATAAAATGTGATCTGATCATCATCTAAGTCACAACAATAGACAATCACAGTCTGCTTAAACTAATAACACACAAAGAATGAAATGTTGCCATGTTTTTATTGAACACACCATGTAAACATTCACAGTGCAGGTGGAAAAAGTATGTGAACCCCTAGACTAATGACATCTCCAAGAGCTAATTGGAGTGAGATGTCAGCCAACTGGAGTCCAATTAATGAGATGAGATTGGAGGTGTTGGTTACAGCTGCCCTGCCCTATAAAAACCACACACCAGTTCTGGGTTTGCTTTTCACAAGAAGCATTGACTGATGTGAATGATTAGGTGCTATTTAAAGCAGAAACTGTTTCAAGTGTTAGTTCTTTATTTTGCCATCTTCACAGCAAAGTACAGTGAAGTTTGTTCTTTTTAAATACATATATTATACTATAAAATAAATCAAATATCACACACAAATCATGTAAATCAAAACAATACATCAAATTTAATCCACCTCTATCAGAGTGTTTTAAGTGTGTACAGGAACAAAATAAAACAATATACATCATCATACTGACCCCACCACCAGGTTTAGTCTGTTATAACAAGATTCCTGACATCAACTATTGGTTCAAACAAGATACATTACTCTGGAAAGGGTGCCAGGACACTCCTAGCTTTTGGTTGTCCTCTGTGTATGCTCCTTGCATCATAACGGTTATTACGATCTTCCAATTGCCATTTATTTTTATTTATATTTTTTATATTTTCTTTCCATTTGCCGGATCTCAGTATGTAGGTGCATCCATTATCTTCATCTCTTCCTATGATTTCTGCAGTTTGCTTTTATGTGAGATTGATTTTACTAATGGATTATGGGTATATTTGAATGACACCCAAAAAAAACCCTTATATTCCAATTTATTTAAAATATTGAATTTTGCATTTATTTATAGCTACTTTAATGTCTTTATTTCTAAGTGTATAAATCAAGGGATTTAATATAGGTGTTATAATTATATAAAAAACTGCAATAATTTTGTCTGTTTCTGGTAAAGAGATTGAACGAGGTTTCATATAAGTAGCTATAGCTGAACCATAAAATAATGTCACAACCATCAAATGAGATCCACAGGTGGAGAAAGCTTTCTTTCGTCCAGCAGAGGACGCAATCTTTAAAATGGTTATAATGATTTTAATATAAGAGATCACAATGAATGCAACAGGTATCATCAGTATAAAAGAACCAGCAAAAAACAGAAAACATTCAATAATGAATAGGCTTGTGCATGCAAGTGAAAGGACTTCTGGGACTTCACAGAGAAAGTGATTAATTTTGTTGTGTCCACAAACATCTACACTTAATATAAATAAAACAACAGGGATAGACTGAACAAATCCAAATATCCAATTACCAAGAGTTATTCTGATACAAACAGATCTGCTCATGATTGCACTATATCGTAAAGGATTACATATAGCAATATAACGATCATAAGCCATTACTGCGAGCAGAATACATTCACAAACCCCAAGAGAAAGTGAAACAAACATTTGAGCTGCACATTCTACAAATGAAATAGTTTTCTTGACTGACAGCAAATCTTTTAGCATTCTAGGTACTGTTGAAGATGCAAAGCAGATATCCAGAAGAGAGAGACTGGAAAGGAAAACATACATCGGGGTCTTCAGATTGTTGTCTGTCAGGCATATAAATATAATAGAAGAGTTTCCAAATAAAATTATTACATAAGCTATCAAGAGAAATACAAAAAGGATGCATTGTGTTTTGGGGTGATCAGAGAGTCCAAGAAGAATAAATTCTATCACAAATGTTTTATTTTTCCAAATCATTATATCTGTTAAAACAAAAAGAGAAACTAATAAAATTATTATACAGGGTGGAGTCTAAAAGTCAATCCTGAGATCCGTCACCAGTGATGGCTGCAGGGAATTGACTGTGTTCATGGAAGGTCTTTTGGGAACCTCCATAGACCTCTCAAAGGCAAGAGTACAGCAGTGCAAGAGTAAAGCAGTGACTGCTCCGAAGAGGAACCACCAGATCAAAATGGCCATGCCTGCAAGGGACAGGTTCGGGGAAGTAGAGCCTACCTTTAACTGCCCCATGGCCATTGGACCCCTAGCTGCAAAGTCACCGTCAGGAGACTAGAAAACAATTTAGAGATTTAACTTTACATGCCTGAGGAAAATGTAAAAATTACCAAAGATGGAGGTAACAGTTCAGTCTGGATTCACTGACATACAGCAGCATATGATACTGCTGAATGTTATTTGTTTTTCCCTCCATGATGTATATATAGCAATTAATTTTTTTTCCAGATAGTATATTGATTTTAAATGTCAATGTGGTCTGTTATTCATTGTTTTAAAAAAGTCAGCTAGTTATTACCAGATTAACATAAATAGTAATGCTAAGAGTAATAGTAATACAAGTTGGTGATTCTACTAAGGGCTTTTTCATTTAGTCAGTACGTTTAGCAACTTGCCAAAGTGGATGCCACTAACATTAATCAGTATCATCTGTTAAACAACTGCAAAATCTTACAAGTAGCAATATGAAATCGCTAGCTGATGTCACAATAACAGTTGTCCAAAGAATGTTAAGTAAAATGCCTTTGAGAAAAAAAAAAAATCAGTAATAACCATTTAAAGTCTTGACTGAAGATCTTTCTTCAGTCTTTTTTTTTCTTTGGCCCAGATGAGACTAAATGAAAAATCCATTCTAACCTGTTTGCTGCTAATTAAAATAATTAAAAAACTAAGTCACAATAAAAAAAGAAATAAAATCTCACAAGCAAAATGAAAACATGCTTTGGGAAAAAAATATAACTTCACCCTTAAAATGCTCCACATATACTGAGTTCACAAGGCTAAATTAGGAGTACTGGAGCATTTTTATTGGATGGCTTAAAGGATCACTATAGTGCCAGGAAAACATACTAGTTTTCCTGGCACCATAGTGCCCTAAGGGTGCCACCACCCTCAGGGTTCCCCTCCCGTCGGGCTGGATGGAGAGGAAAGGGGTTAAACTTACCTTTTTTCCAGCGCCGGACGGGGAGCTCTCCTCCTCCTCTCCGCCTCCGATCCTCCTCTTCGGCTGAATGTGCATGCGTGGCAAGATCTGCGCGTGCATTCAGCCTGTCTCATAGGAAAGCATTTACAATGCTTTCCTATGGACGCTGGCGTCTTCTTACTGTGATTTTCACAGCCAGAAGCACGCAAGCGCCTCTAGCGGCTGTCAATAAGACAGCCACTAGAGGATTTAGAGATTTAGATTTAGAGGCTGGATTAACCCATTTATAAACATAGCAGTTTCTCTGAAACTGCTATGTTTATAAAAACAAGGGTAAATCCGAGAGGGACCTGGCACCCAGACCACTTCATTAAGCTGAAGTGGTCTGGGTGCCTAGAGTGGTCCTTTAATGGTGAGACTAAATGTAAACATTACATATGCTTGGCAGGTTGTGGAGGTATGGGATTCTAGCTTGACAAAGACCCTGTTTGATCGAAACATTGCTGTTTTGCTCTAAATAAAGCTGCTACTGTGGCTTTTAACCTTGAGTGCCTGAATCAATGTTTATTTTCTATATATAGACAATAGACAAATATATAGATAATAGATAAATTATATATATATATATATATATATATATATATATAACAAAACAGAGCAATTTGTAAAAATTGTTAAATTAACTCAATTGGGGGCCTATGTATTTTATAGAGTAACTAAAATACATAAAGATGTAAAAACTCTTGTGGGAGACTGAGAGGGTCAGCCATACACGGGGTGTTTGAACCAACTGATCATAAACTTGTTGATTTTCATATTAAAGAAAGCATCTTTACCTCCTTTTCTAAGAGACACACACAATTTTCCACATAAGATAAAGAATATTGATTTGACAGGAAAGAACGCAATATTTGGCAAATTGGATGTTCAAAGTATATATACAATATACAATATATACAATTATGATCTTGGTATTAAAGCAATGAGATAGAGATTTTGTAATAATTCTCAAAAATACACGGGCACCCCAATTGAGTTTATTTTTAGAATGTTTACAAATTGTTCAATATTGTAATAACTTCAAATTTGAGATGTCTTTTTACCAGATCTAGCAATAAAAACATGGGCAGAAAAGGGGGTCCACACTGTACAAGACCTAATGGAGGGAGATAAAGTAAAAACCTTCCCGGTCGTCCGACTGCAATTCTCCCTAGCCTCGAGAGACTTATTCTTGAACCTCAGGGTGAAAAATATATTGACAACGAGACTTACACACACTCAAACAAAGCCCCAAATGGAGTTATTACCTCTCGCTCAGGTTCTGTCACCCAAGAAAACTAAGCCCCTATCCCTCTGTTACAACGCCCTCCTATGGGGACCGGGTCAGACAAAGCTGTCATACATGACTCAGTGGGAGACGGAACTAGGAGAAGCATTTCTCATAGAACAATGGCACAAAGCCATGGCAATAACAAAAAAGGCTTCGAGGAGCCTATTACTTTGAAAGGCGTACTGTAAAATAGCCATGAGGTGGTACTTAGTGCCACACAGGTTAGCCCACATGTACCAGGGGACGTCTGAACTCTGCTGGAGGTGTGAAAGGGAGGCGGGAACAATGTTGCATATATTCTGGGGCTGTCCAGACTTACAGAACTACTGGGAGCAAGTGAGATCACTGATCCTAACCACGGCGCAAGTTTGCATACAACAGAGACCAGAAAACTACCTTCTACACATGCTACCTGAATAAGCAGGACATCCCCATAGAAAGGTGATCATAAACATACTTATGCTTGCAAAAGTTAATGTAGTGCTCCCCTGGAAGGGCAAGACAATCCCCTCAATAGCAGTCATTAAACAAAAATTAGATGTTATCAGCTCATATGAAAAAATAGCCTATAGGTTACAAGGTTGTGTGGGGAAATATGCAAAGGACTGGGGCTGCTGGATAACTGGGATAGGGGAATAGACGTTGGGGAGCAGTCAAGATAAATAAACCAATTGCCATAAAGCACACTAAACTCTCGCTACTCAAACTGTGTTTTGTTGCCAAAGACTTGGAACTGTATGAACTCAAACCCCTACCCCCATCAACCTTTTTCTTTTTTTTAACCCTTCATCTTCCCTCTCCCCTTAAAGTTCATGTTACACCTGAAATGTTACAAAACAATAGGAATGGTAGATAAGATGCTCAGGCTCGGCACCTAAGAAACTAAGTATAAGAAGAGAGTATGTGCCTGCCGTGCATCGCTCTCTAAACCAAGAACTCACAGTGGATTTTATGTATGTGATTAAAGTGCTCAGCATGCGACATACACATGATGTTTGGTATTTGACCATGATGGTGATTGATGTACACATTTTGATCTCACATGCATATCTGTATCCTCTGACATATCAATAAAAACTATACATTGAAGAAAAAAAAGGGACCATTGCTAAAGAACAGGTATAAATATTGATAAGTACTCAAGGCAGACCCGAGTTTACCAGCAATTTTCAGTAAAGCCCCCACTATCAGTTATCATTGAAACAAAAACTTGAAAGATTTACTGGTACAGAGTGATCCGACCCGTTATAGAAAGACTCTCATCGTACAAACAACTGGATGCTTTAAGTGCAGTGGCTGTCTAACTTGCAGCCACATGATCAGTGGTACTACATTTTCTCATCCACATAGTGGAAACAGTTGTCCATCAAATATCATATTACATGTACTACAGACCATGTAATTTATTTTGTTACATGACCTTGTGGATTATCTTATGTGGGAAAAATGGATTTAACTCTTTATGATCAAGTCAGAGGACATCATTCAATGATTACTACAGCATTTTGTGATCATAACAATGGACAAATCATTATTTTTAAGCAGGTCAACATGGATTACCAACTTTAAAATTCATGACCATTGGTCATACACCACTTTTACCCTGCGAGGGAAATTGGTCTAAATGACTTTAACAAAAACAATTCCATTGGGTATATTGTCTGGTGACTGTGGTGCCCAAATGACTTAATGAAAATGTTGTGCTCTCTATGTTCTTGTAAAGTAAGAATAGACCCATTAGTATATCTGAACAAATGATCTTTAGAAATAGCAGATGTTGTTTCTATTATATAATCATAGTCAAATTATTACTTTATTGTATAGATATTCTTTCCCTGGTTTGTTACAAATTATGGAAGATCGTCCCCCATTTTTTTTGGTTTTGTGATAGTCACATTTATCCACACAATTGTCTTTACATTGTTACTTCACATACACTTGTTTGAGGATACATTCTTCTAAAAAAAATAAAAAAAAAAATACCTCTTTGTATTTTTCCTTTTCAGTGATCACTCGGCATAGTGATGCTTTCATTTCCTAGCAACCTTTACATGATACACGTCACTGGGTGTCACATCATCACATTAGTCTCATGTCTTCCTTTGCACTTCCGGGATGTCTCACTCATTCCTGAGTCCAGGTACAACGCACAGCACTGATAAGTCACATTATAATTATTTCTCTATATATTGACCCATTTTGTGATATTGTTTGATCTTGAAAAATTATTGAACTGGCTGAAAAGCTGATTACTTAAAGTGATGAACCCATATTGTAATTAATACATTTCTGAAATATCAAAGTGAAGAAAATTGTGGTTTGTTTGTTAAAATCTTCTGGCTTAGTGCAGTTTCTTTTTAGTCTTAAAAACTGGCTTTTTGGGCACTTTATAAATGAAAAAGTGTATTCCAATTGTTTTTAAAGTTTATAACATTATATGCATAAATTTATGTTTTAAGGTTCTATCCTCTAACCTCTTATTTAAGTTATGAATTGCATTGTTCTAACTAGTATATTTGTTTGAAATATTGACATTACACACTTTATTTATAGTTCTCTTTTATTTACCTTAATATTAGCTTAACCCCTTAACGCCGTTACAGCGTTCTATGCCATCCCGCATTAAATGGGCTTTAAAGTCGTTGCGGCGGCATAGAAAGCCGTAACGGCTTTGAGCCCTGGAGATGCTGGGATACTTACCTTCCCAGCGCTCCGCTTCGGGAGGACTGCCTGACAGCCCAGGCAGCCCTCCCATGCCAAATCAGGCCCCTGGGGGCCATGTGATCGCTCTCAAAGAGCGATCACATGCCCCCCTATAGCTGGCTGTGGATCTGCCAGCAGGGGGACTGTCTTAAATGTCAGACAGTCCCCCTGCTGGTGGGAATATATTAAAAAAATATTGAACATGTTTTAAAATCAATTAAAAGTATATATACACTATATATATATATATTATATATAACATATATACTTCTTATATATATGTAACGTCATACCTAGTGTGTTTTAATGTTAATATAAGTACATATATTAGTATTAAAATACACTTAGACTGATGTTACATATATATAAGATATATATATATATATATATATATAATACATATATATATATATATATATTATATATATATACACGTATAATTACAAGAATAAATAAATAAAATAATAAAATAAATAAATAAATATTTTTTTTAAATTAAAATAAATTATATGTACATATGTAATTTAATTCTAACTGGATTTTGTTATTAATATATATATACATATACATATATATATATATATATATATATACATATATATATATTGGTAACAAAATACACTTAGAATTACATTCTATATATATCTATCTATATATAAAATACAAATAACTGCAAATATATTTATATAGATAAATATATAAAATTACATAAATTATTACATAAGTATACACGTAAAATTTAAATACATATATATATTGTGATAAAGTGAAGGCAGATAGGCCTTTTAGCCCCAGGGGAAGTACATGTAGTTTGTGTGTTACACAACACAAAGCATTGTTTAGTTATGGGCCCTTGGGGTGGAGCATTTGGAGAGAAGGGTGGGCCAATGCTCCACTCCACAGTTTAGTGGTTTTCTGGGGAGACATAGATCCAGGCCAGGGTTTTTTGGACCGTCTCCAACCTACTGCTCAGCTGCAGTTAATGAGCTGTTGCAGTGGGAATAAACCCCTCCCGGCTAGGCAGGAAAAGGAGAGGGATTGCTGGCTTCCTCCCAGGAAGCAGGTAGGAGAGAGGCTGTTCTCTCCAGATAGAGAGTCAAGGAGATTAGGCACTGGGAGTGCAGAAAGGAAGCAGTCAAGGCTGGCTTGGAGCACTGGGAGTGCAGGAGGAAGCAGTCAAGGCTGGCTTGGAGCACTAGGAGTGCAGAAAGGAAAGCCGTCAGGGCAAGGCTGGCTTGGAGCACAGAAAGGAAAGCAACAGGCTAGCTAGCAGAGTGTTGCTATCTAATAAGGTTGGTGCAATATGTTTTTGTTAGTTTAACCCTAATAGAGAGGGATATACAAAGTGAGTCAGTGCTCAGACGAGCTAGGTTTTTGTTTAAAGGGAAACCTGTTATATTTATGTTTTCATTTGCTGCTGCCTCATATGTAAACTTACAAATAAAATGCCTGGAATGAAATTGCATTGAAAGACTGTGCATGTTTTTGCCCTAGAGGACCGTGCTACCTGCAGACAAAGATCACAATATGTATTTATATTAAAATTCTAAGTGTATATTTAAGTAATCGTTTAGCATAATTATGTGATTTTATTAAATAAAATTTGATTGACATGCCTGACAATCCAGGCAGATTGTGCAGAGAATTTAATTCACAAGCACTATATTTAACCCTGTAACTTTCCAAGACACCATAAAACCTGTACACTGTTTTATTTAGGAGACCTCACTGAACACAAATATTAGTGTTTCGAAATTATAAATTGTATTACAACAATGATAATTTCAGTAAAAGTGAAGTTTTTTACATTTTTCATACATGAACTGCACTTTTACTGACGATATTATTGTTGTAATATGTTTTACTGTTTTGAAACACTTATATTTATGTTCAGTGAAGTCTCCCAAGTACAACAGTACCCCCTATGTACAGGTTTTATGGTGTTTTGGAAAGTTACAGAGTCAAATATAAGGCTTGCATTTCATTTTTTTCACATTGAAATTAGCCAGTTTGGTAATGTTGCCTTTGAGACCGTATGGTAGCCCAGGAATGTGAATTACCCCCATGATTGCATACCATTTGCAAAGGTATTGCCCAAGGTATTGCAAGTGGGGTATGTCCAGTCATTTTTAGTAGCCACTTAGTCACAAACACTGGCCAAATATTAGTTTTTTGCTTTTTTCACACAAAACCAAATATAAACGCTAACTTTGGACAGTGTTTGTGACTAAGTGGCTACTAAAAATGACTGGACATACCCCACTTGAAATACCTTGGGATGTGTACTTTTGCAAATAGTATGCCATCATGGTGGTAATTCTCATTCTCAAAGGTAACATTACTAATCTGGCAAATTTTAAAGTGAATAAAATGAAAAATGGAATGTGCTATATTTGACCCTGTAATGTTCCAAAACACCGTAATATCTGTTAATGGGGGTTACTGTTTTACTCGTGAGACTTTGCTGAATA